TAAGTGTGCTGCTGGTTCCTACTGCCCAAGTGCAGCACCCTGCACTTGTCCGTGTTAAAACGCATCCTGTTCCTGTTAGCCCACCCCTGTAACCTATCCAGATCCCTCTGCAATCTCTCACTCCCTGCTAGCGTGCTCACCTCCCCCCAGATTTTGGTGTCATCAGCGAATTTAAACAGGTTACTTTCCACCCCATCATCCAGATCGCTGATGAAGAAGTTGAACAGCGCAGCTGTTCGATTCAACAGCTATTCGACCAGCTGCTATTCAACTTGACTTTCACTCTTCAAGGTCAAATATGTCGAATATTTGTCGAATCGAATATTAAGTCGAAGCTTTGCACAGTCCTGCTGGACACCTTCAGGGATGAAGCCTGCCTAATCAACATACCAGAGAACAACTCTCTCCCAAAATGACTGAGTTACCCAGGGGAATAAACTTCCAATCTCTCCATCCCCTGTGCAAAATGAAGTTTCTTTTCTACCTGGGAGGCTTTTTACAATATTTGAATTCTCCTCAGCCTGAAGAAGTGTGTTTGTACCCAAAAGCTTGCAAAGAATTTTTTTTGCTACTATTTAGTTGGTCTAATAAAAGGTATTGCCTCTAACCCAAGAGTTTTGTTAGTTTAGAATTAATTAACAGAATTCCTTGGGTATACATAAACTGTATATTGGGGTGGTCAGTTATTTGGGCTGGGGGGGACATTTAGGGAGTTCTGATGAGCTGCTGTGGACCAGGTCAACACCCTCCCCCCCACCAGAACTCCCTAAGTGACAGATTACTAGACCAGTTCAGGGGTACTGGACAGAGCAGCCAGGGTCTTCATGGAGAATGGGCTGGGACCCCTGCGAGCAGGGCACGCTTAGCTAGGTGATGGGGATAGGGCTGTGGGCAGTGGCATCTGGGAGTAGGATGGGTGGGCAGGCAGGGCCTGGATTGTGGGGCAGTGACAGGATAGAGCTGGGGCCCATGGCAGAGACATGATCTACTCCCAGTATGGTCCTGTGCTGCCACCACTCCATGATCCTGACCCTAGCCACCCATCCTGCTCCTGGCCTAGCCACTCATCTCTGCCCACCTGTGGCCCATCCCATCTGCCTGGCCAAGCGTGCCCTGCCTGCGACGGTCCCGGGCTGGTTTTCACAGAGAGCCTGCTTGCCGGCCTGCTCCACCCGGTGCCCCTGGAGGAGAGTGTAGGGCAGATGGGCTGGGGTGCCTAGGCAGCCGGGCCAGGTCTGGTGGATGGCAGCAACACTGGCAGTGGCAGCCAGGAGTTGCCAGGAAGCTGAGTCCAGCTGCTGTGCCACCCCAGTCCCACCATGAACCTGGGGGCAGCAGAAGTGGCTACAAACACCATGGCCCAGGTTCGCCCCCTGCATCTGGGCTGGCAGGGCTGCAGGACCCGAGTGGGGCAGAAAAAATCCCATGATAGGTAAAATCCAGCCTGTGACCCATATTTTGCCCACCCTGCTACACTTAGTGAAATTTATTTTATGTACTTGCTTTTAGTAAGATTCATAGGCAGCACATAAAATGTTGCTTTAAGTTGACCAGAATCTTATTTTAAATAGTTTTCAAATTTAAATAGACAGCAATCTTCTCTATTAATGTAAAGCAGTACCAAATGTTTTTATTCTCAGTAAATGCAGCATGTTTGATTAAATTAGCAAGTCTTAAGACTGCTATTGGGTAGCATAATATGGGGTGGGTGAGCAGGACACCAGTGCCAGGTGCCAATAGAGGTGCCAGAATGGCACCAGCCCCCAGCTAGGGAGTTGTGATTCAGTAGGGGCAACAGTAGTAGCAGTGGCGGCAGCTGCCCCATGCCACTGCTGTTAGAGCAGTAGTTGGATGCATGCACACCATGCTCCTGTTGTAGCAGCAACAGCTGGGGGGGCACATTTTTTTAAATAAGTCCTCAAAGTAGCTAGGAATACTGTCCCCTCCCACACCACTCTCCACCAGGGTGCTCATTATGACCTGCTCGTTACATCTGTGACAATTTCCAATTCCTTTAAATCTATTTACTAACGCTAGCAGTGGTTTTCCTCTTTTCTGAGACTATACAGTTTTTGCCTTGATAGCTGAGTAAACTAGCTTCTGGTACACTAGAAAGAACAGTTTACTAACTATGGTGTCTAAATACAAATTGTCATAGAGATCTTTGCAGTCGGATTTTCTTATTGCCCTCCAAAATCTTGGATATAACACACTTATATCCATTTAGTTCCAAAGTGCACAATTCAATTTCAAGAGTCTAGTTTATATGTGCTCTCCTATATATAAAATTAAGTCCACTTCTGGAGATACTGAACATATTTTTAGAGGCCTCTCCATTTTTGAAGAAAGCTTGTGACTGATCTAAAGACTCTACCCTAAGAGGAGTATGGTAGTGATACAAGGAGAACAAAGGAGAGTGTGCATGTAATCCAGTTTCACTAGTTATTTTCTCTGCTGTTTCATGGGGCATGTGTAGATGAAACGGGGGCCCTAAAATGAAGTGGTGGGTTTTAAAAAACATCGCTTCACTTTAGGGCCAATTAAACCCGTGGCATGCACACACCCCGCTGACTTACCTGCATCTCTGGCGGGGAGGGAAGGGTGAGCTGCCAGCAGGCAGAGCAGTCCCTGGGCTGCTGGGGGAGCTGGTGTTTCCCTCAGCAACAGTGACCCCCTCCCAGGCAGCACCCACCTGCAGGCACCTAGCTCGGGTGGTCCCAGGGGGCACCACAGCCACAGCGGGAAGCACTGGGCCCCTGCGCAGCTCAGGCAGGCTCCCGAGGGGGAAAAAAAAAAGCTCACCGCTTCTCTTGGGTAGAGCCTGCTTTCCTGGGCTGCTGCCAGGCTGCCTGCAGGGCTTCCTACAGGGCTGTACAGAGCCCAGTGCTTCACTCTGCAGCTGTAGGGGCAGCAAACTAAAAGTCCTCGGAGGAGTTTTAGTTTGCTGCACCCCAATTTGCCACTCACATGGTCAAGGGGCAGGCCCTATGAGGATACGCTAAAGGGCCTGAACCTATTTAGCCTCCACAAGAGAAGGCTGAGAGGGGATCTGGTGGCCATTTACAAACTCACTGGGGGGACCAGTGAGAACTGGGGTAGGCTCTGTTCTCCTGGGCACCACCTGGGTTTACTAGGAATAACGGCCACAAATTGTTAGAGAGAATTTCAGGCTGGACATCAGGAGACATTACTTTACAGTTAGTGCTGCCAGGCTCTGGAATGAGCCCCACGTGAGGCGGTACTCTCTCCTACCTTGGGGGTCTTCAAGACGAGGCTGGACAGGTATTTGGCTGGGGTGATATGACCCCAGCATCTGTTCCTGCCCAGGGCAGCAGGTCAGACCTGATGATCTGTTTTGGGCCCTTCTGACCCTAAGCACTATGATACTATGAAGTCATACAAGGTGCATTACGCTGCCGAATTTCCTACAGTGGCTGGAATTAATGCACAACATGCCGCCGAGGTGTGCAAAAACCAATACCATTAAAGTGGTGCAACAGTATCTAGCCGGCTTTGAAGTGCCCTGCACACATGCCCCTCGTTTTATCTACACACAGCCTTAAAACGCTTTGGCAGGCAAGGACTATCACATCAGCAATATCTCTCAGGGCCTCTCTGTTTCAAGTTAACTTTAAACTAGCTAGCTTGAGCATGAAGACAGCAGCACTGACCTCAGGAGGTGGCAGTTCCACCCACTTTTTGCCCAAATGACCTATGGTCCAGAGGTAGGAGACCTGGGTCCTAGACCTACCTCAGGCAGAGAGGGTGTGAGTACATTTATCTCCTCCTTCCCACGAAAGCATCTTACACAGGCTATGGAGGCAAGCATCTCTCAGCCCCAGCCCTACCACTGTAGGACTTGGGCTAGGAGATAAGGATCTCCTAGACCCGGCCCTGCAATTGCAGAGCAGGGGCTGGGAGCTCCCTGCTGTTGGGGCAGAAGGACAGTGTCCCCGCCTGAGTTCCACTGGCAGAGCTTGCCCTGGCAGCAGATGCCTCCCAGGGTCAGGGACCAATCTCTCACCCCCTGCTGCCTGGGAGCACATTTGCTCCTGGTCAAGTGTCTACATGTGCACTACTGTGTAGTTACTTATCACGAGTAAATCTGCTACTTGTATTTCCAGATAGCAAATTTACTCATGAGTAATCATGTGTAGATGCTGACTGCACAATAATTAGATCTACTGAGCTGTAAACTGACTTGCGTAGATGAGTCCAGTATATGGCAGACTTACTTCTCAACTCAGCCTTAGTTCAGATGCATCCATAGTGCTGTCCAGAGCCAACAAGTTGTTTATGCACAATGCCAGAAGAACAGACTGTTACTAAACCCCTCTGAGCATTTTTTAATCAAACAACATTCTTTCTGCAAAAATCTTATAAATCAAATAAAAGCAGATTTTCACTACGCAGGGATTATGTTCATTTCTTTAAATCTGCATTTGTACTCAAAACATTTTGAAAGCTCAACCAAAAGATCATGCTTCAAAAAATATCAGCCTGAATGGGAAAAGTCTGACAAGGTTACGAGAAACCAAAAGAAATCTCTTAAAAATGAAACACTTCTGTATAACTACAACATATGTGGTTGCAGAGAAAAAGAAGTTACTTACCAGCAACTGGGTTTCTTTGAGACGTATCATTCCCATATACATTCTCAACTGCACGTGTCTCATACCCCTGAGCCTCAACAGAAGCCTTTTTTTTTTTTTTTTTTAAATCTTAGATCCTCAAACATGTACCCTAGCCCAGCCCCTCCTGGTGTCCCACAAAAAGGGGATAATGGGTAGCACACACTTCCTGCTCTTCAGTTTCCTCTCAACCACATATCCTGTAGAATACTAACTCTGAGGAAGAGGGAAAAGACTGGGATTCAAATGTGCACAGTATCATTGCCATAGACATATGAACTTTCTAAACAACTTATCTGGTGGGAAATAGTAGGTCAAATGTCCTTTCAACAAATAGCGAGTACAGCAAAGCCTCTATACTCATGAAGAATAAGGCTTTAGGAAGAAATCAGCAAGTTAATCTACTGCCCCAATTTAAAATCTGACAAATTGAGGCAGGCACTTAGAATGAGTCGTTTGGGTCATTTTGTTGAAGTTGTATAAGGAGGATCTGCCAAAAGATATTGAATCTCACCCATCCTACTTGCCAATGTACTCATTTGCCATTTTTACAGAGCTAGAGAAGGACACAAGTCATCATAGGTTTGAAAGGTGCTTTCAATAAAAATTTAAGAACTAAATTAAATTCCATTGGGGAAACCAAGTCCCTTACTTGCAGAAAAATGTTGAACTGGACCTCAAAAAAGCCTGAGGGCTGTCAGGTGAGGATGCATGTGCTATCCTTCTAGAGGGGAGCGGAAGACAAAAACAACTGCCAGACCCTTAGCTGATGGAAAATAAACATGCTTGACTGCAGATGGATAGATTTGGTAGTCTATACATCACTTTGCTCCAGCAGAGATATCTGGCATCTATCTGTTAGCATGGATTCTATACTACAGAACATTAATGAGCAACTGTAGTATAGCTGTCCATAACCATTGAAACGTGACATGCTACAATGCAGTGAAAATGCTACAGAAGCCCTCTGTACAGCCTTGAGTTCCAGTTTCACCTCTTTCTGTGACTCAGACCAGTCTCCAAAGTGCACTCCCCAGTACCCTGTCAACCTCCACAACAGAACCATAACATTTAGAGTCCGACTACAGCAAGCAGGAAGAACACACAAAAAAGTGCCTTTTTGGGGGGAAAGCTACAAAATATGATCACCTCATGGCATCATCTTGGAAGGGGTGGGGGGGACAAACAAGGGGCAGGCACCATGCAGCAACACAATGGCTGCAGACTGCCCTCAACTGGGAAAAAAATTCTTAAACACTGTTTCTGAATCACTGTTTCTGGTGTTTCCTGAGATATTTCCTAAGGCCTCAAGACTGCTAGGAACTCAAGAGAAATGCTCCACCTCTAGACAAGTGGTTGAGAAGAACTGAAGAACAGGGCATCTCTTAGATGTAGGCCCACAAGGAGGATCAGGGATATGGACACTGCTAAGTCTATGTCTTCACTCAAAGCTTAGAACAGTAGTACTCAACCAGGGTGACGCAGAACCTGGGGGTGCCAAGAAAGCCAGCCAGAGATGCTGCAACACCAGCACTACTGGCACTAGTGCAAGGTGGAATTGCACTGCATGCCTCCATTTCCAGAAGGCACATCAGAGCCAAACAGAGAAGTGGCTGCAGCAGAAAGGTATACCTGCCTCCATTATGCAGGCAGCCATGTCTTTTTTGCTGCATTTCTTCCTGGTTTGGCTCTAAAGTGCCTCCTGAAAACAGAAGCATGCAAGGCAGCTCTACCTGTTGGAGCAGTATTTATCTCTAGGCTGCCACTGCCAACAGGCAGAACTGTCCCACATGCCTCTTTTTGGGAGGTATGTTAGAGCTGAACCAAGAAGAGCTGCAGCAGTAATGGCATGTCTGCCTGCATAATGTAATGTAGGCAGGTGTGACTTTCAAACTGCTTCTCAGTTTGCTTCCAATGTGCCTTCTGATAACAGAGGCATGAGGGACAGTTCCACCTGCCCCACGTCTCTGTTTCCAGGAGACACTGTGCAGGTTCAGACTAGGAAGGGCAGCGGCAAAAGCACACACTCCTGTCACAGCTTTTTCCTGATCTGCAGGAGGCACTTGGTGTGGTGGCATGCCTGTGATTATGTCTAATCAATTACTATCTTAATTAATCACAATTGTAATACATAATCTTTAAATTAGTTTTAAAAAATGGGGTGCTGCTGAATTTTGCAGGAGTACCTTGAGTCTAAAAAGGTTGACAACCAGTGGTTTAGAAGCACAAGAAAGCTCACAAATGAGAATGTGTATGTGGACAACTGCTCAAAGGATTAAAAAAAAACAAAACAACCCCCCCCAAACAAAAACCTTACATTCTGCATTATACTGTACTTATTTTAATTGCTGAAAAAAGGCAAGGCCTGAAACTTTTCCTAAGTCTCAAAATAAAACACACACCTGTTCCATTGATGTTTCATGCAGTTCATTGAGATTCAGGGTATATATCCCTTCCTCTGCACCGAATATCAAGTACTGATCTATAAGGAGAGAGAGAAATTAAAATTAATCCATTCAGATTTTAAGAAGTGCATTATAACACATGTATGGAGCTGATTTCATGAAGAAACATTTTACTGAGAGAGTTGCATACATCGAGCAATCTGCCCTATTTAATTTTCCTTAGATGGGGAAATAGGAGAAAGCTGCAATAGTTTAAATTTGAAAAGCCCCACAAGACGTTAAGAGGGACTCATCTTATTTCAGTTAAAATGACTGATCAAGAAAAATCCTACTGGAAGAAACTATATAAACATACAATTTATGTAATTTCCTGCTATCAACATTACATTTAAACTGACATGAAGATGTACACGCTAACAATTCAACAGAGTTTTTAGAAAGTGTCATTAACCCTTTCACAGCTATTTCTAAAGAGTGGTGCCAACTGGAATGCTAAACCAGCTTTTTTATGGCAGGTCCATCAATTTTTGCAAAATTTAAGAAAATTCAAGCTCACTTCCCCTTCTTGGTTACAAAGGTCTGAACATCAACTGATACTGTGCTTTTGACCTTGCAAACAAGACAGATAACGTAAATGTTCACTGAAAAGTCTGAACTGTCTCAACCTTAATGGGTGATAATTTAAATTCAGAAAAGATCAATATTTTGTTGCTGATCTTTTTAGTACCAGCATCTTGCTATTCCTGGATTATGATTAGGCAAAACAGGGGACCCAGTATTACCAATTTCTCCATCCTTGTAAGCAGGACTCTGTAAAGTACTTCATATATATATATATAAAAAAAACACTGAAGTATTTTAAAATATAAAGGGAAAAGCATCACCTCTCTGCACCCCACTTTTCAAAAGCAAAGTGAACATCAACATACCTCTGAGCAGATCTAGAATTTTGAAAGGGGGGGTGCAGATGGTGAGGTGTATCATCACATATAAACAACACATTTTTCTTCAATTTACTACAATTTACTACTTTACTAATATTCTGGGAGCCTAGAGCAAAACAAATATAACTTCACTGGAATGAGTTAAAAATAATCTTCAGGGCAGTGAAACAGGAACTCATTAACAGGAGCAGCTAACAGCAGAACTGCAGAACAAAGGATACCTTGACTGGTGAAATATCAAGAGCATTAAAAAGAAGAGCTGGTGGTTAACACCTGTGGAATTAAGAGTTTAGACAGGATCAGGTAGATCGGGGTGGGCAATTATTTCAGGCAGAGGGCTACTTACTGAGTTTTGGCAAGCCATCAAAGACCATATGACAGGCAGCCCAGGGCAGATTAATATTAATTTTCTAAATTTTTTAGGGGCCCTGTGGGCTAGATACAATGGCCTGGCAGGCCACATCCGGCCCGTGGGCCACGTTTTGTAAACCCGAGGTAGATTCTAATAAGATTCTAATAAGCCATGAAGTCAATTGACTCCTCATGCACTGCCTGACTGAAATGTTTCTGCCACTACCAGGCACTTAGTTTGAAAATCTGGGTGGAATAGGAATCGAAGGGTCTACCCCTGAACATACCCAAAGAGAAGCACAAGGGAACTAACTGAAGAAGGAAGAAAGAATTTATTTTTGGTCAAGACAGCAGGATTGACACCTCAGCTTCATGGGATAGGATTTCTGATTACCAAAAAACAAAGGATTGTTGTACACCTTAACGTTGTGATCCAAATAAAGGGAAAATTCATGCGCATAAATTAAACTGTTTTAAAAAGGAATAACCTGGATATCTAAAATGCAGATTTTATATTCTTGGAGCCTTCATGAAAGAATAAATGGGCTAATCATATACCTCTTGTATCTGGATTTATCCATGATGTTGCACAATGAATTTTTAATGGGCATCCATTAAAAACCTTTGAAAAGCAAGCACCCATCTAAAAAAGAAAAATAAAACATTTAATTAAAAAACAAGTGAATTTGAATCTCTAACCTGATATATCAATGAAATTTCTAATGATTATATATTTCTAATAGTATATGCTTCACCTTATTGAAGAACTATAATAATTTTCAAGGTTTAGAATCTGCTGAAAGTGAACACTACATTCTTTCATATACAAGTCACACTTCTAAAAATGAAATCTCTTTTAAAAATGGCTTGTGACAAATTCAAAAAAGAAGCTCTTATATTCTCCACAAGAGTTGCATCTCTATAAATGAGTCTTTGAGGCGTTTCTTCTTATATGGAGAGTCAAGGAATTTGGGCTCATCTTTAATTCAAAGACATCTATATTTTAAAAAAAGATGGTATTTTTTGGATGCTTGCACTAAGAGTTCAGCCATTTTTAAGAATGATTTAATGCAATGAGAGAAGAAGAGAAATTCAAAGAGAATAATGTCAGTGTTAACCTTCTATGATGAAAGGGAACAGCCTACACCTCTCTTCCTGCTTTGAATCTGATTTCCTCTCAAGAACCAAAGAAAAGCCTTTAAAGTAAAGACAAACATCTAATGTTTGATGCATTAAAGGAGCTCCTGAAGTGTGGCAAAGAAAGGGATGACATGATCTACAGCAGGCTACAAGAATGATCTTTGCAGCAGATACCTGGATGGATGAGTGGGGCAAGGTTGAGCACTCTCACCAATGTCCAGTGATCATTCCCTAAAAGCTCAGCATTTATACTACTTGATCTATCAGCAATCTTTTACACAGTCTTGCTCTCTCTCCCACTGCTCTCACTGTTTTTTCAGCGTCTCTTTTGAAGGGACACCTCATTTTCCAACCATCTTCCTGTAGTGGCCCTGTCTTTGGTCTCATTTCCTTCACCTGCACATTATTTCTAGGTGATCTCATCTGAAAACACCAATTCATCTACCTTCTCTATGCTTGCAGAGCTGCCTTTCTGTACCACACTTGTTTCTTTCTGAAAAACTTTGACCTGTCTTGCTGATGTATCCTTGTACATAGCTAGTTACTGGCTCAAGATCAACATGACTAAGAGCTCTACAGCAGTGCAGCTCAGCCTTTAAATTTGGCAGGCCAGATGGGCAGTGCCCAATCCTTCTGTAGGCTGGATGCAGCTGGTGGACCAACTCGGCACCCAAGGCAGGTACGGCAAAGCCTCATCTGGCTGTGTGGATGGGGGGCAGCCTGGCCCCAATCCAGCTATGTAGGGGAAGAAGACTTGGCTTGGCCCCATATGGGGGAAGGGGTATGACCTGGCTCGAATCCAGCCACATAGCAGGGAGGGTTGGGGAGAGACCTGTGACACACACGACACAGAAAGTGGCTCAGTCCCAACCTGGCCAGGCAGGGGGGAAGGGATGCGGAAAGCCTTTTTCCATTCTTATCTTTGCAAAGATGTACAATCTGTCTAGCCCTATCAACTGAAGCCCACTGTGTCTATGCTAGAAAGCAATCCTGACAGGGGAAAAAAAAAAAAAAAAAAAAAAAAAAAAAAAAAAAAAAAATCAGCTGCTGACCTTGTATCCAGAGTTAACATTTACAGATAGAAACTGAACTTTTTTGTTAATACTCTTCTAAAACTTGGAGGTGAGTCAGTAGTCTGCAGAGCCCAAGGCAAACCTGAGAACAGTAAAATGTATTCATGCTACCTGAAAATGTCCTTTTAAGAAATAAGATCCCCAAATCTACTGCAATGGATAATTCACTTCAGCCTGCTTACAGCTTGCAAACAGAACCTGATCTGTCAGTAACTGACAAAAAAAAAAAAATGCTCTGCTCCTTAAAGATTCCTTTCGTTGAAATACCTTCAACAACTAGATTAATCCTGTTCTACTTTCCAAAATTACAAACTTCACTTACGGCACACTAGTAGAGTAAACAATTCTGTCTCCTATGCATGGAACAGAGACCATGTCCACTAATGAAATTATCTTGAATCTTTGGTTATCAATTTCCACCTTTACTCTAAATGAAACATGTGTTTCCAGGGTGGGTTAAAATCTATGCATTTTATTACTTGAGGGGAAAACAACTTTAAGGTAAGCATCAGTACATTTTTCTATTCTTTTTCATGCTAAAGTCTATAGATCTATTACAAAGGGATTTCACAGAAGTGTGCTTTTAAGGTAAAAGGCAGGATTGTTCACCCTTTAAATGTGAACATCCAAAACAAGCTAAATTATACTCTGTCTTCTGGGCAGTGAGATCTGGAGAAGGTGATTTTGAAACATGGCACTGGCTAAAGTAGGGCCTGGGGAATTTATATACTGATGGTCACATGGATGTTTAGCAGACTTTATTAAAATGGACTCTGATACTTGACAAAAGTAAGACTATTTATTGAACTTAATTACAGAAAACATGCTATAAGTCTGCTATAAGCATGAGGACTACCAGTCTGAATCAAGGTACAATACAGCTGAGAAAAATTCAAACTACAAAGACTTATGTGAGTGAAGATAGAGGGGAGCCTACTTTACTGGAGAAAAAAGTGACAACATTTCCATTACAGTTCAATTGGTTCATAAGGTAATGGTTTGGATGAATTTTTACAGGTATTATTTATAATTTTCTAGGGCAAGACTACTAGCAAGTGGCTAGTTATCTGCTTGCCCTTAAAAGAGGAGGTGCTTCTTTGAGTCTCTCCTCTCTCATGTGCACCTCTCTCGATGATGTCTCAAGAAGGGCCTTCCTAGACATTCTATCTCCTTCTACTGTGTGAGGTTCACACACACCAAGAAAGTCTTCCTTTTCCAGGAGATGCTAGCCTAAGAAGCTCTGAGTGACAGAAAGACGGGTTATGAGGAGGGGCAGAAAGAAGGCCCTAAAAGCCTCTTACTGAATTTTGGCATTGGTTCTGTGCCCAGTGCTCCTTACTCAAGGCATGGGGGGTGACAGAGACCACAGTCAGGAGAGCAGCACCCAGTGTGGATTACATGGCCTTCCGTGAATTTCTTTGTAGCTTTTTAAAAAAGGCCTGATCCTTCCTGAAACTACAACTACAATTCTGCCTGCATCTTTCCATACTCAGGGGAGATGCACTGAGGCTTTGAGGGAACTGGCACTTAAGCCCACAGAGCTGCTCAAACTCTTTAACAAGATATTTGATAAAGGAGCACAAGAGCAAGAGACACCAACACTTTCTTCTGCATGTCTTACTCTAGTTGTCTCCATGAAGCCTGCAGAGCACTCCTTCAGCAAGAAAGAGCATCAGAGCTTGAGGGGACAGGCTCCGCCAAAACCAAACAGAGCCTAGTTAAAAATAAGACAGACAGCTGACTAAACCAAGCTGTTAGTTTAAAGAAGAAAAATATTAAAAAACTGAAATATTCCTTGAAGACACTTCATGTCCAGAAGGTCTGGTTGAGCCTACTGCAGTTGTACCAAGCAGATAAAACTGGAGGGATTTTAAGGAGAGAGGGCATTCTCTAACTGCTCATGACTGACAGGTCTGGATCTGATCCCAAGCTGTGAGCAGGCTGAAGTAACCAATGTAAGAAACTGGGACCTTAGCAAAAACAAGTATCTGCTTCAAATAAACAGACATAAGGTAGGAAAAATCCCTGCCAACAGGTAATTCCTGTCAGCGGAAGGCAGTTTTCATTTCCAAGCATTAAAGCTAACCAAATAGGAACAGTTCTGTAGTGGAAATGATTAGCTTTCCAACACAAATTTAAGTTGCTTTTATTGACGTGCCTGAAGTGAGAGACAGTACATTAGTGCAAAAGTCAAGAACTCTGAAGCTATGCTAGATTACTTAAGAAGGAAATTTAGTATTTAGAAACAGAAGGAAAGAATGTGTGTTATCTTGCTTTTCTGGCATTTTTAAGTACCATCTGTATCTATGTTGTTCTGGCTGCAGTCTTATTTCTGTAGCTGCTAACATGTTTGAAGTGCACTCATGAACTTTTTTGCAGGAGAGATCACTTAGGAAGAATGAGGAAGGGAACTGGATGCACACCACTGTATCATTTACAAGGTTCCTTTTCTGAATTTCCAAGCCCACTAACTTCAATATTCTAGATGAGGGATCAGAAACCTATGACCCACAGGCTGCATTCAGCCTCTGGAGGTGGGGCTTGGCTTTGCACGTCACACCACAGCTTGGCAGCAGGGAGCTTTCCCATGCCATGCTGCGGCCAGGCAGCAAACAGAAGTGGTGGCATGTGGGTCCTAGCACCAGATTACCAAGGATGCGAGCTGGAAGATTCCAACCTGGCACTGCAAAACATTGCTGCTGTTCTAGACCATTACGCAGAAACGAAGTAGGACAAACCGTCCCTAAGGCAAAAGAAAAGTGAAACGCTATCTGACAGAGCTTGTGTTTCACTTTCCAGTTCATTCTCAGAATTGCTATTAAGAACCAACATAATTGGGGCTATCACCTGAATTCTCTATATCAAGACTGAATGCTTTATAAAAGGCATGCTATAGTTTAGCTTCTGCTACTGGACTGGATTCAGGGATTACTCCCAGGTCTCAGCCCCACCCCCAAAGCCCCAAGCAGCCCCTTGCAGGCTGGAGCTTTGTCAGCCTGCAAGGGGAAATCCAGTTTCCACATTTTTCTTCTTTAAAGGAGAATCCATTTTTAAACTTTGTTCATGACCCTGTAATATATTCTTGTGACCCACTTTTGGGTTGAGACATGCTGGGCTAGATACTTGTGAGGTCCCTTCCAGCCCTATTTTGCTATGAGCGCTATGATCCTATGAGTCAGCTGGTAGAATTACTTGAGGAAAAAAAAGACTATTAAATCTTTAACTGATGAACAAAGAAATCCATTCAGACCTGATAAACTTATTCCATTTATGGCCACGAATCTGAAGAAGGTTATTTTAACTTTATAAAAAAATCACTTTAAAAAAATCTTAAAAACTAAGAGCTGCGTTTTGAAATACAAATTTTAAAGCACAAATAAAAAAAGATACTAGCTTCTAATCATTTAGTTTTTATAAATATCTACAAGTCCTATATACACCAATAAATTGTTCAATAAAACATTTTAAAATAATTAAACTTCAAAGAATGTTTAAAAAGTCTCAATATTTTCCGATTTAACAGAAGAAACACCAACACTGTAATCAAAATTAGTAGGAATAGCTCTAATACTTACATGCACTTTAGGTGTGGGAGGAAGACCATTACTAATTGGTTTCTAAAAAGAAATAGTGAATTTAAATTATGCTTTTTATCCACAGACACAAACATATTTCACTAAAGATGCAATTAGGACACAAATTAAACATTTAAAAAATCTTTATACTATAGTTGCATAAATAGGATAAATAGCTTAGCAATTGAGAGTATGATTATATTGGAATAAAACTACAAGCCAGGACTTGCTCATAGGAATCAATGTTAAAAACTGCATGCAAATTGTTAAGACAATAAACACAAACATACTGTACATTTGCAAGTCCTACCGTAGGCTTGTTAAATAAGGTGCATAAGTAACTACAAAAATACCACAATATCCATGTAATTTAGTATGCAGACTTGCAAGCTATCCCTGTCCAGCCAACTCACCCTGACAAATGAATCACTATCACATCATTATCTATGGTGAAATTAACGTGTTATCATTCTTCAATATCAATAGCTCCATGCTGAATGTCTGCATAGTTGACTACATAATGTTCTCTAATTAAGAGGCTTGAAAGAACATTAGAATGTCATCATCCAACATCACAAAGCTTAAATGAACCACCTGCATATTGTAGTTAGCACAAACATACCAAGCAATTAAATCATTAAATGAAATTATTAAATGTTTTAGCACTGTATGAATTTATTTTGTATCACAAGGATTTCAGAGATATCAATAATACTTGTTTCAGTGGAAATTCCTTTCAACTATAAAGTCCCCCTAGATTTTGAAACTGAAAATCCTGCTGTTTCAACTACAACATCTGAATGACAGTTCAACTTTAAATCTACTTAATTCTAAAAGATAAGTCAAAACAGTTTAGGAATGACACCTACTCAAGATACCCCAATTAATATGCAGTGTTTTAAGAATAACATTCCACATTTTAAAACAGAGAGACCTTCCATCACACCCTGAAGAATCCCTAACACATGCCAGAAAGTAACAAAGGGCAACATCTTTTAAAAGAAGCTGCAGCTTTCAGGGCCTAGTTCAGGGCCTACCCTAAAAACATAGCTTTCAGAGGCACTGACCATGCATAGCTCCCACTGAATTTTCATGAGAATGGGACATCAAGCCCTTCTGAAGATTTGGCTTTCAGTCTCCAATTTTTAGATCCAGAAATTTGAAAAACCTACATTCACAAGTTACTTCTGAAAATGGTGACTTAAATGGCTTAGAGAGGAAGAAACAGTGTGGCACCTAGGCACCACCAAAATCAGAGATGTACAGCATAAAATTTCCTAGGCAGAGGGCTTACTTCATCAGATGCTGTGAAGGGACTGCAGAAAGCAAAGCTGCTAAATAAAAAGCAGTGATTATAATGCAAAGGGTAGTGAAAGGGGAAGGAAAAAGGAGGTGGCGCTACTAAGAGAAGCAAGGTGCTCAGAGAGACAAAAACAAAACAGTTAACCTATTGAGGGGCACAGAGTTTATAAAAGCTAATCCAGGTAATGTTATAAGAATTTACAGTCTTGGATTCAGACCAGAAGAAATAATGAAACTGGCTATTACAAAAACACTATCGAAACCACAGTGAAGTTAAACAGGAAAGAAACTCACTCTGGATAGGTTCATCTACCATTTTCTTTTCTCTTACCTCCAATACCAACTCTCTTACAGCTGCTCTCTTATGTCTTTCCAACCCAGACTTATGCTAGCTTCTTTTGTGTCGCTAATATCTTTTCCCTTTTTGTAGACGACCTCACTAAAGAAGAAAACACCAACAAATCCCATTCTGCAAGGTCACATAGTTGCTGCTGCTACCTTGGCTTGGATCCCTCCTTAGCTACAATCTATTGTAATTCAGCTGCCAGTGCTAGAAAAGATGCCAAGTAAGCAGAGTGGAGCAATGCATTTATATATATAAGAACTACATATATATACACACTATTTCAATTTGAACCCTATATTTACAAATAGCTAAAGACATTGTGGTACTGTGTTTCTGGACCTCATTTCTGTACTTTGTAATTGAAGGTTTTTCAATGTAGTTCTGAGAATGCAGGTAGTTCATTAATTGTTGTAAACCTCCAGGTTAAAAAATGGACTAGAATAAATGGAGCCATTCAAATTAAATTCAAGTTGGGAGTTTAGGACTTTAATCTTCAACAATAATGAAAAGCCTCAAGAGAGCTAGCTCACCCTATCAGAGCTTTACCGTGCCAGTTCTCTTATTTTGAGTAATTCCGAACACCAATGTATCAAATGCTATCACTTTAATCTCTACAGTGACAGCTTGGTTTTAATCTTTTCTCCAGAAGACCCATTTTATTTGCCACAAAGTATCTCAATTTTATTCTTATTAAAGATAACTCCCCATGGTCAAGCATTTTCATCATGTAAAATGAAAAGCAAATCAGAGGTGAGATGCCAGGGCAGTTTAAAAAGCTATACCTAAGTAGAATCTTAACTGTATGTGGTGACTGTCAATAGCTTCCTTAAAACTAGAAAGTATTCAGATATTTCCTATTAATACTGGTGGTATAGAGTCCTAGATGTCTGCTAAATCAGTCAGTGAAACTCCTGTCAAACTGGTAGGCAGACAGTAACAAAGTTTCTGAATGTATGTAAAAGTCACACTTTCTGTGTTGTACTACAATCAGTTTCCAACAGGCAGTCTTTCACAAAGTACAACAGAACCCTACTTAATCACAAGTTATCATCCATGCAAAAAACTGACAGTATTTCCTCAACTATGATCAAAGATACAGAGACCATACTGCAGTGAAATGCTAAATTCCTAAGTTATTATTTTATACATTGCATGTTAATATATTACAAACAAAGTATTTTATTAAAGTAAATGAAAATGAAAGCATTGTATTTTGGTCCTTAGTTTTCTAATGTATTTATTTACCTACCTACTGGTTGGTAACATTCACCAATCTACCATACCATCTTCTCACCTTTTGTACAAATTAAAGATGTACTGCACTGTATTCACAACCACAGGATGCATCTCTAGTCTGACAAGTGTTGAATGTAAACATTTAATTACTTGTATTAAATTACAGAGCTTAGTATAATTTAAAAGCAGATAATATTGATTATACTTATGGATCAGATGGTAGCAGGAGTTAGAAGTCTAATCAAAATATATGACTCAGAGTAAAAAAATAATTCATCCAATGAAACCAGAAAACAGATAAAAACCACTAAGGTTCCATACAACTCAACAGGAGTTTGTTTACTTTACCATTTGTCCATTACAGAAATGAATAAGAATAGTTTTCAAATAATTACCTACCAGTATTTCCTTCTTTTCTTTCCTTAAAAAATTAGTGTCTCTATTTTCATTCTGCTGTTGACGTGGGGATGCCTCTCTGTCACCATTTAACTGTGCAGAATTCACTCCATTACCTTTGCAAGAAACATTTAGATTACAAAGCTGTTTTCACTTACTTTTAAGTTAAAATGTAGTAATCCACATATAGAAAATTAAAAGGGCCAACTCTCTTGCTAAAATGACCTCCACTATCTTCAGTGGAGTTGTACCCAGCAAAGAACTTCGTTCAGTATGATAATGAAGTGTTGTACACACTTCTGCCCTCTCAGTTCCTAAATAATTAATAATAAAACTAAGTGTGTATATAGTAAGCGAGTTGTAAAGGCTCATTCTCTGATAGAAGCTGATCATGGATACATCTTCCTTTAATCTTGTGTGTTTGGGAAAGCAATTTTCCCCCTACTTTTAGTTAACAAAATAATCATAGCTCCCAAACTTATTCCTCAAACCTTGCCCAACTCACTCATTATATATACATTTCTGAATTCAGACTTTCTTTATGCTTTCCACTAACTCCATACTGACCACCAGAACACACAAATTTATAATCAGTACATAGGGTAAGCATAAAAGTTGCATGCTAATTTATCATAAAGATGGGGAAAAATGGGTTTACTGGAAGACAAAGGAATGCAATAATGGTTAAGGGGAGCTGCAAGCAAGCAGACAGGATTTCAATAACTTAGCTCTTTCCTTTGTGTTCGTCGAAATGACATATAATCACCTTAATTTCAAAATTAACAACTCATTGTATATGGCTTTGGTATTTTTTTTGGAAAATGTTTAAATAGATGACATGAGAGTATGTTAAATGAAGAAATAACAACAGCACAGAGGGAACAGTGACTTACCAAATATGAACTTGATCCTGAATACATTTAGTATTAGGCAAACTGATACAGTGTTAATAGAATCAGGTGTTAAGAGGCTATATTATAAACAGGAGAGAAATACCTTTTAGACAGCTCTTGAATCCAGTCCATTTTGTTTAAGTGTGAACCCTAAAGTGTCTCCTCTCTCAATTAAAGTCTCTGCTCTTAGAAATACCCATGCATCCCAATGGTAGCTTATAGACTAGGGAAGAACTTAAGAACTATGTATGAAAAATAATGATTCTCCACTGTTACAAGTCCAGTACTTTTCATTTTGAGTGTGCTGCTTAGGCAGCTACTCCTCTCTCCACTGAAAATCAGCAGAAATTCTTTCAGAGACTTCTATGGGAGTTGAATTTGGCTTAGTGAAGTTGTAGAGCATTATTTTCATGAAGCTGGTTTTCACATACTATTTTTATCACCTGCTCACAGTAGTACAGTGTTTCATAAGGACATGCATTTTAAGAGAGTAAAAATAAATATTATGTTATTTCTGAAATCCCCAATAATCTTATTACCTAAAGCATAAGGTTTCTGGGGAGGTAGCCGTGGAGGGGGTGGTCTAGGAGGAACCTGTGATGCTGACTTTCCTGGACTTTCTGAGACAGGGCATCTCTTGATTGTTCCTTGACTATCTTCTTCAGAGGAATGAGTTTCATGTGGTATGTAGATGGATTTAGGCTGAAAATATATATAAGAATATTGACTCCATTGTTGGGACAGTTAAGCTAAGTGTTGCGTGCTGTAATACTACAACTTATTATTTTCCTGAGTAAACTGATAAAGACAATTACATATTCTGTTACATATTTTTACTATAGAGAAAATGCATAAGGCAGTTATTTGATCAACAGAAAATCCAAAGCAGTGTACTGAAATCATGACTTGCCTGAAGAAACTTCACTATGTCCAGCGCGCAATCAAATCACAAATGTTTAAATGAAAATACTGTCTGCAACCTCCCTCCCAGCCAACCACGTGAAGCTGATCTTTTTTGAAAGCACCAACCCAGACAAAGACACTTCTCCTGCACAGAGGCATTGTGAACTAGATACAGGAAAAGATGATCAATTCCCTAGTAGTCCAGTTGCTCATACCCCTCTTCTCTCCCATCATACCTGGTAACAGTTTAGTTGTTAACGTTCTATGACAGGAGCCAAGATAAGTCCATAATTTTCCACTATTAATCCAGCCTGCGCCTTTACCCTTTGCTGCCTTCCTCTTATTCTGGAAGATGGGAATTGGGTTTACACCTTAATTCTTCTACCCCATGAACATTCTTCTTTTGTTCCTTTCTCCAAAATAAGTACAAATACATTTTCTTGCTCAATAGCCAATCTCCTTGTTTTTGTTCTTTGTGATAAAGAACCAAAAATGTCACTTTGGGTTTCCGTTTGGATTCTAACAACAAATAATGTTTTTACACAAAAGTGCTCTGTACTTTTCAAAATTCACTCAAATACTAGTTAATCTGTACCATGCCACATGCTCAGGAAACAGTTTTCAGCATAATACAAACACCTAAACAGATACTATTTTATAAAAAGGCAAACATACATAAAAGAGAAGTTGGTCTTCCAAATTACCATGAACTAGAGCTGGAGCTAAAATGAAAACTCGACTCCTCACAGCCCTTACACTCAGATGACAAGAACTTCCTGCATTTGACCTTCCACTACATGACAAAGTATTGAATTGTGACAAACTCAGCTTTCACCCTCTACAAGATTCCTGTTCATGACTCCAGAACTAGGAGGTTAAAATCAATTTAAACCAAAGCAACTGACCTGTCATTCAACTTGGACTGTGACTGCCTTTTTCCCCAGACTGATGAAGAGTACTTAAGGCCCCAAACCTTGTGTCCTTTCTCTCCCAGCTATATAAGTTGGTTCAATAAAAGATATTCCCATACCTCACAAATCTTACTCCTCTCACAATATTGGACCATCATGGCTACATCACTCTTACTTCTAGATCAGAGCATATGGACGCAGCCATACTAGCAAGACCAGGTTTTGCCAAGTTGCAAGGCACCCGAAACCCATACATGGAACTGGAAGACTGTAACATTCCTGGCAGTTCATTTTGGGGAGAAAAGGAACAAACCTGAAGCTAATGTATGGACAGAGCACAAGCAGAGGCTACTGCTTCTAACTGAGGATCTGAGGTGCCAAGAGACTAATCAAGACAACACCTAGCATAGTTTTAAAAGATTAGGTTTGAATCCTCAGATATAAAATTCCTATAGGTTTACCTGTACATCAACGAGGCATGATTAACCCAGTGTTTAATGACTAGTGAGTTTCCACATGCTAGAGAATACAAGTAGAGATTTTTTTGGACATTTTTTAAATACACTGTCATCTAAAAAGTGCAATCAATTCAGTCTCTTCAAGAGGAAGAATCTGAGACCTAACTTCAACATTTAAAGGACCCCATTATTGCCTCTGAAATTAGCACGGAGACTTCTAATGTGGTGACTCTCGTAGGAGCTCCTATTTCTGTAATACCAAACCCCTGAAATACCAAATGTTACGCCTCTCCTCAGATTAATGATGTAAACATAATCATAAACACCATATCTAAAGTGATGAATTCCATCAATTTTTCATTTTATTTATGCTCCAAAACTAAAAATGTAACTTAATATGCTGGAACAAAACTGGATGAATCACAATCTCAAAAAGCACCAAAGTCTCACGTCAGTGAAAATCAGGCACCTATGTCATTTATAGACTCCCCACCCTCCTCCATTTACTGCAATTCCCCTCTTCCCCAGAACAATGAAAAATCCCACTTACCTTTGGTGGTAAAGGTGGTGGCACTTTGGCTTTCATAGTAGAGCTGTAAAAACAACAGAGATTGCTCAGAAGTTATCCAGATATGCATCTCTGGAAAACTCAACTTGTGAGGTTTGAGAAAGTTTATGTAGAGTTTATTTTACATTTTTAAACACTAAGAGATTAAACATCATGTTATTTTCAAATACTTACACCATTTGAATATTTTCTAACTGTTGCTTCCCCACCCCTGAGCCCTGTAGTCCCAGGGGTGGCAACCTACAGCCCATGTACCAGATCTAGTGGCATCTGGCAACAGGGGACCTTCCTTGCACTGTGCTGCAGTCAGCCACCTGGGGCTCAGGAAGAGGGGACCTCTCTCTGTGAGTTGTCACAGCCTCCTGTGGCATAAGTGGCAATGAGACATGGCAGAGGCAGCTGCACCATAATACCCACCTTCCTGACCAGAGCACTTCAGCTCTCTTGATGGAAAATGCTGCTGACCCCAGCCCAAGACATCAGCAAGAAAAAAACCCAAGTGTCCCTCTGAAGTCTTCCCATGAAGTTATGGGAAACTTTTTGAAAAGCTCATCTGTGCTCATCTATCCACAAGGATATGTAGACTTGTGCAGAATAGGGGAGTGATTTTTAGCCAAGAGATGTAGACAGGATGCAGGGTGAGTCTGGCATTCACTGTACTGAGAGAAAAGGAAGTGTGCTTATAGTTAAGTGGGGAGTTTAGGATACTGGTGGGTTTTACTAAAGAATATTTATAATATGGAATTTTGTTGACACTGGAAAATACCATTTCTCGATGGACCTAACCACTGGCTTCTTCAAAAAAACATTATATGTGATAATAAATCTGTTTGCAAAGTGGAGTTAAATCTACTGTTTGCTTTTGGGTTGAGTAACTTTTTCGTATGTTCTTTCCCCTTCACAGAACTCCACATGGACACACAACTTCTCATATGGCACGTGCTCAACAATCTGGTCCTGGAGTACAACATATCAGCATGAGTGAAAAAACTCCAAAACATTTTAAGGGTTTTCTCCTCTAGTTCTGCATTTTAAAGGTTCTACTGTTTGATCCTGAATTCCTGCATGGTAGTGTTCAGCCTCTATTTTAATCTTTTTACAAACTTCGGTACATTGAGAACAATGGTATTGTCCTCATCTTTTGAGAAATACAAAATATTTAGTGTAAACTGGCCATGTCAAACTCATCCCATGCCCCAGGCCAGATCCGGACTATAGGACTCCTTACAGGCTGGATTTGGCTTACGGCACTGGGCTCCCAGATTGTGTGGTAACCAGATGGGCTGAATGGAGCAGCTTCACAGGCTGTATATTTGACATCCCTGCTGTCTTAAATTTGTGCACTATGACTTGCCTGCTTTTGAATTACATTGCTTCAGAGAAACATTAGGAAAATATCTAAGTGAGATATCTGTGTTTTTTGGAACACACAACTCTTCTCAATACCTTGTCTAGTTTGTCCCAGACTTACCAGAAAAGTTTCTGTCTCAGTATATGATTATGGTTTTGGACTAGAGAAGCTAGAAGGGAAGTACATGCTGAATAACTGTCACTCATATTTGAGTATGACTACTACTGATACTAGAAATGAAGTTCCACGTGTAGGGTTGAGGAGATGTGCCAGGGCACGCTGGTGTCTATGTTCCCCCCTACTGTCGGCCAAGTTGGCGTGACGATGTTCTGTTGCTCATTCTGCTTCCTTCATAGCAGAAAGTCAAGCTCGCCTATCATGGGCCGTATCCTCCCAGGACATTGAGTTCAGCCCAGCAGACTGTATGTGCTGCTGAATGCAGTCCTCGTGGTGGAGTTCGGGATGGCCAACCTTCTTACTGCCTTTTTCAAATTCACTATACAGAACTCTCTTAGGCAGTCAATTGTTGTCCATACATATGACATGGCCAACCCAGGTCATTTGCCTCTGTGCTAGTATGGCTGCCAGTCATAGTTTTTCATTGTTGGTGATTTTGTCAGACCATTTAATACCCATTATGCTGCATAGGTGGTATTGGTGCAAGCAGTTAAGTTTTTTGATATGGTGACGATAAAGGGGGCAGGTCTCTAATGAGTATAGAAGACAAGGGAGCACAACAGCCCTGCAAACTTGGCATTTTGTAGACACTTTGATGCCTTGCCTTGTCCACAGCATTTTTTTGTAGGCAACTGAAAGTTGAGGCAGCTGACTAAGTGTGCTGAAAGTTCTTTTTGAACTGGGGTCACTGACAACTGTGCTACCTAGGTAGCAAAAGGACTAAATGTTGTTAAATTGGCTGCCATTCAATTTTATTTCTGGTGGTGATGGAGGCGATAGGTTTTCTTTACATTAATACAGAGGCCAAAAAGGGATACAGCATGGGCAAAGGAATTCAGTAAATGTTGCAGGTCATTCTAAAAAAGGGCAACAAATGCTGAATCATCAGCATACACTAGAACCTTTACTTCACTTTGTTGGGATTTGCTTTTGGCCTTGAATTGGTGGAGGTTTAGAAGTCCGCCATCAAATTGTGTTGTCAGGCACTGACTGATACGCAGGCCTGTATGCTGTCATGGAAGCAGCATATGAGGTTAATTAGTCTGCCTGGGCAGCTGAACTTTGCAAGAGGGCACCAAAGAACAGATTGTCCAACAGAGCTGAATGCCTTACTAATGTCAACATACACGGGTATTTGCTGTTCTGCAGCTTCCTCCTGTAATTGGCATAGGGTAAATATCATGTTGGCAGTGCTATGTGATGAACAAAAACCACACTGGGATTCAGGGAGTACACTGTCTGCAATAACCTGGAGCCTTCTCAGCAACAGCTTAACAAAGGTCTTACAAGCGATGGAAAGGGGAGAAATGCCACAATAGACATGACTCTGGCAACTGTCTCCTTTGTGCCTGTAGATTGCTACAAAAAGCAAGCACAAAACCTAGCTTATCCTACAAGGCTTGTTTCAACTTTAATAAAGGCAGCAACTATCTCCTCTCTAAATCAGGTCTCAGTTAAGACTTCTGAAAAGGATGGAGGTCCAAGTCGTACTCGAGTATTTTCCTTCATATTTTCTCCTGCATGTAAGGCAGACACCTTGTCAAGAATGGGGGATAAAAACAGGTTGTTGACCTCAGCTGGAGAGAGGCTAACTGGCTCACAGTATGCCTAAGATATGAAGAGTAAGGTTAGTAAAGACTGTCAGAATTTAAGGCATGTGATATGGACTTTGATTGTTGGCATATTCAGTGTTCCCAGAGCCCTGAAAGAACTCTACAATACCAGCTCTAGGTCACTGCTTGGCTGCACTAGAGTCAATGCAAAAAGCTTCAAGACAACTAAAATGATCTGACTGAAGGAAGACATTTGCACAGAGTCACTTCATGTTATACTGAGCTCTTTTTTGTGTATTCTGAAATAGAGACACAAACCACAGAAGAATAAATTAGCCACAGAGGTGCCTAATCAAGACAACTCTGTTGGGAAATTCTGATAGAACAAGAACTAGGAGAAAGGACTCCAATGTACTGAACAAAGCGGTCGGCGCAAAGAGCTTTAAGACAGCAGCAGCCAAGAGGTTTAAAACCCTGTGTTGTTAACTAAATAGACTGAGTTGACTGTAAACAGGAGAAAAAAATTATAAGTAAAAGTAAATAAGTACACTATTGCTGAACATTAGTAAGGATAAAAATATCTTAAGAATAAAAGGGAAAGAGGCACCAAGATGATCTGGCAGCACAGATCACAACAATAAAGATATCCATAATGTTTTCCCTGAGAGCACTCATCATGGAATTAATGGTATGGATCTTTGAGGGACATTGACATTCCCATGTACAGGTGGCCTGACCTAAACTAATCAGCATCAATAGCTTTACAATTCTGAGTGAAGGAAGTTCTAATCTTGGTCACCTTTGGGTTTATGAGATTTTACCCTACTTTTCTCTTTGGAGGTGATGCAGGATTTTTTTTTGTTTGTTGAAGCACTGTGCAACTGATCATATGGTTTTAAAACAACTGCCTGATAAATCCTATGTTTCACTAATAAAGACCAAGGGATAAAAGTGTGTTGAAAATTGACTGTATAAGCCCTGATTTTTCTATGCCCACCACTCATTTCAAATGTGAATATTCTTCCGCTTTGAAAAGTTAAGTAACTAAACAATGGCAAGGTTCATTGACTTCATCAGGCTCTGAAGTTACGGATGGTAAACATAGTAATCGTGAGATCAGCACCTCTATTTTGGAAACAACTTGATTCTGCCTTCAACCACTTTTCTTTTTAAAAAGTATTTCAGAGACAGGCCATGTCACACATATACCAAGCATCCAACTTCAATTCACCATCCATAGTACTGGTAAACAAAATGACTTAACATCTTAGAAGAAACCCTGTCTCTCTAATTGACAACTTCTCTTCAAATTTAGCACCTAGTTATAAGCTCATAATATTGTTTAAAAATCTACTTGTTAAAATGCATTGCCTAGGTTGCATAATAATAGTAGAAGAACAGGTCAGGTTAGAACAAGATTAATTTTAAAAGGCATTTAGCTTCTCAGTGAAAACATGGCTAAACGCTGCAATGAAGATTTACATTTCACAGTTTTTCCAATATGAAGCAACAGAGCTCTTATAGAGATTATCCATTAATAGGAAACTTAGCACAAAGCCAATCTCAGCACCAGTGTTCTCTCCTATGTCATACAAAGGAATTATTTAAGAAGGTATGTTTCTATACACACCTGTTCTATATTTTAACATCACTTCAATTAATCTATTGTTATCATAATAGTACTTTGTTCAAGAACAGTCATATTTACTCTTCTGAACATTGATATATACCTTTCTGTATTAGGGATATAACGTATAGTCATCTGTTTTAAGTAATTATACCCCAGGATTTCTGTAAATCAGATTTTTATTACTAATCTAATTAGGCTTTTTTATTTAATGATAAAAAGGTGAATAAGTAAGAACCGGAAAGCAGTTTTAACTTAAAGAGGAACACTAAAACTGCCATCATAAAGCAAAATGATGCGATGTAGTCCATACAGACATTATTGCATGTTTCTACTACTTATAAACAGTTATGAAAAAAAAATTAAGGTGATCAACTTCAAATATTTTTTAGTTTTCTTTAGCTAATCAAAGACCACATGTATTTAAAAAAAAGACTTACTGTTTAGTGTCATCATCTGCATCATCATCATCATCTTCTAAATGTGCCACATGTCCCCTACAGAAATGAGCAAGGTACCATGGCTCAGTAGACTTAATTAAAATTACTTTGGCTGCTATGAAAAAAATTCTCAGCTCCAGGGCTACCTACTCTACAGAATTTTATTATAACGTCCTATTTTATTTTATTCCTTAAGGTACAGCAGCAGCCTAAAGAAGTGAGGCCTCTCCCATGTCTTCTTGACAAATAAGGGGTCACAAATGAGCATTATTAATTGTGACAGATGGAAGAAAACAATGCACTGAAAATTTTAAACACACACAAGAAAAAAAAAAAGTTACCGCTGATGCAGTTCTTCTTCAACTGATTTTAGAAGACTCCTTCAAAATTAAATAAAGATATGAATAATTAGTAACTCAACATAAACTGGAGAACATTCAGAAAATAAGACAAAGAAAATGTTCTTGTGTTCTTGTTACTCTGAATGCAAACCATTCAAAGTAAGTTACTCTAGTTTTGATAAAGGCTATGAACACATGGCCATTTATAGAATTATAAAGTGCTATATGCACTCTATGAAACACTTAAAAATAAAGTGCTACATGCTCATCACTCTGGATAAATTGCTACAAAGTCACCTCAAATACACATTCTCCTTCCCCTGGCCCCAGGGAAGCCTCCAGTGAGCAAAATACTGACAGCCTGCCCCTCTCCCCTGCAAGGGAAGGAAAGCAGGCTGTCAGTGATCAGCTGACTACGCTGCTTCTATCTGCTGCTCCCAGACCAGTAGCAACAGGTGTCAAATATGGCAACTTCCTTTCCCCCCTAGCCCCACCTCTGTTCCTCAGGGTGGTGGGGAAGGCTGCTTACTTCACCCCCTGGCACCCCTACAGCTGGCAGTGGATGGCTGTATTTGACAGCTTATACTTGCTTCTAGCAGGGGTGGGTAGCATCAGCTGTTGAGGGCATGCCCCTGGGGGGAGTCCAAGGCAGGGGAAGTGGGGGGGGGTGG